GAGTGTTCACATAGGACATCCTCTGCCGAGCCTATTCCAGTCAATTTCCCCATGTAGACAAGGCTTGCCTTTTGCTGCTTGCAGGTGGGCCCCTTCTAGCTGCCACGCCAGGCAGGAGGGCTGTGGTATTTCCTAACAACAGGGGCATTTCAAACAGCCTGGAGTTTGGGCTTCTTTCATAGGCACACCTGAGAATTTATTACTCCTCATCTGTTTTATGGGCATGCTGAAATGTCCCATGGGAGCTATACCAATTTACACCAGCTACAAGACTGGCTCAAATGAGTGGTGCTGACTTTCACAAGGTGGGAGTCTGAGCCCAATGATTCCAATTGACATGAACATGGGATATGGGATGAGCTCTATAAACAAATCAACCCTCAGCAGCTGATAACTTTAGATTTCAGGTATGTCTTTTTCTGTATCCCTTCAAAGTACAGTTGTATGCTGGGTATGCTTCATTTTGCTGATGATGAGGTGAGTAAGGCCTGGGCGGCAGCAGCATGAAAGGGAAGAACTAAAAAACCCCTGGTCATTAAAGAAAACAGTAAAACTGCACCAGCTGCTGTGAGAACGAGCTGAAAGAGACTGAGCAGGCAGATAATAAGTTCTGGCCTTAGCAGATGGCTTTGTTCTGGAACAGGAATGGGTTCCCCCTCCCATACCTGCAAAGTTGTGTCACCTTCTCCTTCAGTCTCGCCATCAGTATATCTCACTCTCAGCCTTGAGGTCTGCTTCCTCCTGGTCTTCCTCCCACTACAAACCCAATTATAAATATCCTCCTCAGCACAACTCTCTAAATAAACCAAAGGAGCAGCCTGACAATGAGGACTGCATGAGTGTCAGCATATTAAATTCACTCATTGTGGCTAGGAGGATGGGAAAAAGTAATCCCACCATTCATTTCTCTTATTGCTTTATAATACCACCCCGAACTCTGCCATCATAGCTACATCTCTCTATAACTATAGGATGCAGCTCCACACTTTCCATTCAATCACTGGACTCAGACAGCATGGAGATTCATTCATCCGCATTCTCATTTCTTCCTGCCACAAGCATTTATGCTACGCGGGAAGAGGATGGAGGGGATAAATAACAAATTGAATGTTACACATTAATATAAATAAAAAAGGTGCTGGAGTATCAAAAAAGGGACACTGATTAGACAGAAGGACATCATCCGCCCAGAGACAAGAGGACATTTCTTTAAGTATGAAGGCAATAATTCAGAAGCCTATCATGTTGAGAAGGAAATTGATTTTAGAGCAGGAGATAGCATAATGGGTATAGTACCTGGGCATGTTCATAGCACAAGGTGGATCACCATCTTTGCCCTAGAGGACATAGCCCTACCACCCGACGCATGGTGCTGAAGCAAAAGGTATTATCTGACACATACACAGAGTATGACCACAAGAAAAACACCGGGAAGGAAAAGAAAGGATGTTCTCTTTATTCAGGGCATCAAGAAGCTCTACTTTCTTGTCATTTTGACTTATAGCTGACGGAACCAATGTTGCACTACACCATATACAATGGCTCAGGGAAAATTTGGGAGGAAGTCTTGTTAGGAATACCAGGAGCTACTTGATTTCACTGCAGCTCTTTGAGAGGCAAAACTGTGTAACTACTGACAGATGGGACACATACCATAGGTATACAGCAGAGTGGCTGTTCTCTGGATAGCCCAGATTGCAAGAACCAATGCTGCCAGATTCACACCTTAAATCAGGTCCTGTTATCCTAGATCCTTGTCATCCAGACGATATCATACTTAAGACTGTAAGCTCTTTAGGGCAAGGATCATGTTTTTATTCTGTCTGTACTGCTCCAAGCGCAATAGAGTTCTGGCCCATGACCGTACAGTGAAAATGGGGAGAATATTATAAAACAATTCCCATTATTTTCAGTCCCACTTAGTCACTCCTGGGACACTAGCTCACTTCTTTTGGCAATCGCAAGCCAGATTCACTTGCAATGGATACCCGAGAGCTGCTTGTACTAGGAGTCTCAGAGGGGTAGCCGTGTTAGTCTATAACTGAAAAAAAAATTAAAAAACAACAAATAGTTCTGCAGCACCTTAGACACTAACAGAAAATGTAGATGGTATCATGAGCTTTTGTGGGCATGAATGAAGTAAGGGGTGTACTAGGGGGTTAGCACTCTGGCACTGTCCCCCTTCAGACTTGTTCTCATGATAGCAGGAACTAACTCCCTCCATCTTTGAAAATCTTCAATTAACAATAGGCAATATTCTCCTCTCTACTCCATAAAGTAGCAATCAGCTGCGACACAGGAAAAAACCTACCCTCTCTCAAGATGTTCTTTCTCTGTTGCCAGCTGTTTGAAATGTCCCTCTTTGGTGCAGGCAGCTTAATTAACATGCTGACAATGTGCTAACCAATGGCACCTAGAATTGCCCATACTGTAATCACTACCAAGTCCTAGTTTGCCTGCAAACACTAACCCCTAGGAGTAAAATTGAACTGTAGAAAGAAGGCAACAATTCCACTTATCTCAGCTACTATCTTTGGTGGCATGACTTCAGTCAGTTTGTTGCCATCATCTTTACTGGATTATTTATTGCATCATTCTAGACTCAGCTATCATAGTCCTCTTACAAAACCTACCACCACAGGGAGCTGATTCAGGGCTGACTGCCTTTATCGTCAACTTCTGTAGGAGCAGAATCAGGCTCTAAATAGGCAGTTTCTGCTCCAAAATGAGCATAAAAACCTAATCGCTTCAATTACCCAGACGGCAAAGGACCTGATGCAGAGTGCTTCGTAGCACTGATTAGCAGCATTTAACAGAGCCATTTATAAACTGACAGCCGGTCACAGCATCAAGTAAATAATCATAATGTTGGGTTGGGTTGTTGGGTTTTTTTTTTTTAGATAAATAGCTCTAACCATCTCCATGATGCTCTAGTTTAAAAGAAAAAGTGAATGCCCATCAATCTCTCTCTGAAAATGCTGCAGCTAGAACAAAAAAATGAGAGTGGGGGAAGGGCTGCATTAGCTGATGAAAGCAATGGCTGGAATAGCAGAGTCATTATTAGGATTCCTAGGTGGGAATTCTGAACCTGCACAGACACTTACCCCCCAATCACTGGCACATGAGAACTGTAGGAGTGTCACTGCAATGGAATTGAACCCATATCTACCAACCCTCAGGCTAGCGCCTTAATCACTGAGCCCTCCCTTCTCTTGCTCCTAGCTGTACACTGCCATTTCCCAAGCTTTTTGACATGCCACAGGAAGATCCAGGAGTCTGGGGGCTAACTGGTCTAAATGGGTCTCTCTCTATGGATGTCAATTTACACCAAATGAGAATTTGGCCCTAGTTGTGTGATGCTAAGCAGAGCAATGCTATCAATACCTGATGATCTGGTTACTCTAGTTAGCCATGAATTGTCTCAAGTTTAACTCAAGATTCCCCATCATATGACAGATCTTTTGAAAGCGGTCACGGGTTAGTTATGATTGGGAAGGCAAATGAAATTGTGGCTCCATAACTATACCAGCAGCACTCCCTACCTCTTAAAACATATGAATCAAAAGTTCAAGCAACTGGATTTGCTGTTCTTATAGGATACACTATGTAGAAGCTATAGAAACCATTTTCATATTTAGCTAGAAGCCATCTTGTATATTAGAAACCATTTCAGCTTTTCTCTCAAGCACGTAGACCAGAGTGAACTTTCTGTCACCCCATGAGAAGAGGCCTACAGCATGGGCTATTGGTATGTGTTAATGGGCTGGTTGGGACAGGAGATATACTCCCTCGTACCTGTCCGCCATCTTGTTGATAAGGCTTTGTTTTTCCAAGTTTAATTGAGGATTTCTGTAATTAGATGCCCTGACTGTTTGGCTAAGGGTATAAAGATACTAGGATTGATTGTATTAGCCAGCCTTACTGGGCCTGGCTCTGTTGGGACCACGGTTGGCTCATGCTGTGCTTTATTAATTAATAAAGCTGTTTGTTAGCTGCCTAAACAGAGAGGAGCGTTTTTTTGCTTCAACAACTAGATCTGCTCTACCATGTGATCTTCACCTATTCCCCTCCTCTACTTCAGCACTCCACATTCTCTGGGCTTGTCAGTAGCATCACTTGTGTCTGCTATGGTGGGATTGTGGAAGCTCAATGCCTCTCTACACAACCACGGTGCTGTAAAGTACAGGAAACATCAAGAAGCACCCACCCGTGCACTCAGTCTCAGTACATGACCAGATGCGTCACATGTCCCAGGACCAAGCTTAGCATCTGCTTTCCACTAATCTTCTGCTCTGCCAAGTCCGCACTACTCAGCATATACCCCTGTTAGTGAGTCTGACCTCTTGAAGGGCTGAATCAGCCGAACTCCATTGGCAGCAGGGTGATTAACATCAGCAAACGCTGTGGGATGAGTGTCAAACCCACAGAAATCTTTCATAGACCATGGGACAAAGGAAAGAGGAGATGGGAAAGAAAAGATATATGAGAACACCAAAAACGCATAAACAAAAAGAAGAGGGGAAAAGCAGGAAAAGGAATGAGTAGAGAATGAGGCTAAAAGAAAAGTGACAGGGGAGATAAGGGTCAAAGAAATTAAGATAGAAAGACAGTGATAGGTCAAGACAAGATACAGTTTCTTATCCTCCCCTCCCCTTTCTCCCTTCAATTTGGATGTGAAACCCCTCCAAGCTGCCCTGGAGATTAGAGGGAGACCAGCCATCTCACCACCCACTCTCCCATGAATGCCACAGCATGTTCAGCCCTTGCACCACTCCCACATTTCATTTTAATTTTAGCAAATACTTCAAAAGAGAGAACCCAGAATTCCGAGGACTTAGCTGCTGCCCATACAATGGAAATTCACAGAGCATCACAACCTATTGCTCATTACAGATCAGCGAGTCACTGCCTCTCTCCGTAACAGAGAGGAAGCAGAGTAAAGGTCGTAAGATCTATGCATATTTAATTCTTGCTGCTTGTAGACTAGCATTGAGACATACCTTGGCTTTATTGATTGTGCAGTGGAGAGCATTATTTTCCTGGTCATACAGCAAACTGAAATCTAGTGTTCCCAGCGTAGCTGAAAAAGAAAAAAAAAAGCCTTGTTAACTTGAGCTGATAAGCAAATACTGTTTTTACTTCCTCTAAAAGGGAATAGAGTATGCTGGGGAAAGGGACCTTGTAAGATGCAAAAAAAATACTGGTATAAGCTTGGGGTGAAATCGCCTGCATCACAGGAGTGTGGGGAGTCACAGGGGCCTGCGCTCCCATCCACAGTGAGTGGACACTCCTAGCCAGCAGGTAGAACAGAAGGTTTATTAGTCAACTAGGACAGAGCATTGGAACAGGCTTGACTGTCCAGAAATTAAGAAACAGTCAATATAATCCATCTTGGAGAAAGGGGGGCCGAGAGCCACTCCCTGCACACCAAACCACCAGAAACTAACCCCCATGTCTAGCCACCTGGACCCAAGCTTCTCTTCCCTTTGTTCTCCTTCCTGGCTCTCCTTCCCAGGGAAAAAGGTGTCACCTGGCCAAGCTCCCTCCCGTGCTCAGGTTATGAAGGGCATTGTCCACTGTATATGTGCTGTGTAGCCTCCCTCAGAGAAAGTCACACCAGAAATCCCTGTCACCATGTAGGTATTAGTGCAGTGCCCCTGAAAACTGAGGCACACACATAGGGTTATTATAGCACAGTAGAACTCACATGCAACATAAAAAAACAAATATAATCCCCACTTCATCAAAGCCTGCAAACTCAGGGCCTGATTGTCAGAGGTGCTGACCAATTCCAGGTGCCACTGAACTCACCATGGATGCTCAGTACTTTTGTGAATTGGACCAGATACATGCATTCACCTCCAAGAAGCAATTCGCAAAGCCCCCATCAGTTTCAATGGGAACCAGATTGGACACTAGCACATACATCACACTTGACATAATGATGCTTTTAGCCATCCATATCCGAGATCAGGGACATCCTCAGCTGGGTCTAAGAAACTGAAGGAGGCTCCTTTGTAAGACAGCTGGGCCCGTGGGACTAGGAATAAATCCCAACCCTTCTTGCCTAGAACACTGCATATTATGGCATAAATTCACCCCATGCCAAGTGAACACAGGACTCCTCAGTCGCAATGGGATCTACACCCATGTGTGCCAGGGATAAATTTATCTAAGATATTGCAACTGCCAGATTCTATCATCCCTGGAAGCCTTCAGCTCCTGCCAGCCCAAACCTACTCTCTGCTCCTCTTCCTGCAACAGCTTCCAGATTTCTCTCCCTCCCCATCTCGGTATGCTCCAGCTGCCCTGCAATCCCACTCCTTGGCAGGCTTCAGCTGTTCCCCTACCCCAGGCTTGGACAAGGAGCCAGCTCCACTATGCCTCCCAAATCCCATATTCTAGGTTTCCCCAACCTCACTGCTCCCATGGAGGCATCTGTGCAGGAAGCAAAGAGGGGAGGCACCCTACTGGGATCCGCCCACCTACTGCAGTGTCACAGGGAGAGAGTTGCAGGAGGCAACTCCACCATGCTCTCACTACTCTAGGGTACCATGCTCAGAACAAACAGGCAGGAGCTATCCCAGCCCCCTGCTTGACAAGTAGACTTTAGTGGCCAAAGCGGAAACTGCAGCTAAAATTCCCATTGCTGCTGATTGACGGGCAATTCCCAGACCTTAATACTGGGGTGAGCAAAAGGGCCTCCGTGGGCTGGAGCTGACCAGCCAAACGGGTTGATCCAGCCCGCGAAGGCCCTGCCATTCCCCCGCACCTAGGCCAATTAGAGCCTGGGGGCAGAGGGAAGCGCACGAAGTTTCCTCCACCCTGCCAGGAGCACGCAGCGTTTCCTGGCAGGGAGGGAGGACACTTCGCACAGTCCCCTGCACCCAAGCCCTCATTGGCCTGGGGGCAGGAGGAGTGAGCGAACTTTCCTCTGCCCTACTCCCACCCTGCGAGGAGCATGCGTCACTTAGAAGCACCCTGATTGGCCTGGGGGTGGAGGAGCACGGGAAGTCTCCTCCTACCACCAGGGGCATGGGTGCTTAGCGGGAAGGAGAAGGCAAAGGGACTCCCCTAGACCAATCATGGGCCGTGGGTGGGCAAACCCGGAAGCATCGTGGCCCCGCCCCTTCTTGCGCAGCCCCTGGCAAAAAATTATTGCCCACTCCTGGCTTAACACTTGCTGTTTCCATGAGGTGTAGTTAGAACTGGCTCCAGCCCTTGATGGGACACTGGGTGCACTTTCAATTTAGGTCAAGGTGCCTGGACATTACTGTGTGGGGTACCTCCAACATGCAATGCAACAAACAATCATTCCCGACCTTTGGGAGTCAGTGGACTATCTAGTACACCCTTCCAACCTCAGAGGAAGAAACATATGCTTTAGGAGAGTGCTTTACTATTGCATCATGAGGGCTGGCAGTTTGCAATTCACCAAAAACTATGGGAATTTATTTGTACCAAGCATTCCTTGCAGCTGAAAAATGGGAGACAAGCAAATACGCTGATAAAAATGCAGAACTGTCATTTGCAATCACTCAGAATAATGAATGAAAAAAACCAGAATAACCTTGGCTGCACAGCAGCTTCAACAGTTGGTGCAGCAGATAGATAGCAAACTAACTTCAATGACAGAACAAAAGGAAAGCTCTCTATTAATATTCACCAATGACAGAGACTGCCTTTGGGGATGCCCAACCCTGCTCTCAATTCCTCTTCTCCTTCCAGCCTCACTGGCCTCATCTATTGCAGTGAACTTGCTCTAACCAGAC